CCCCCCCCAACTCTCTGATGGGTTTGTGAACCCTCAGTTACTTTCAAGCTGGTTTAGCCCACCTGCCACAAAGGTTTCCCCAGGTATGGCCACTGTGCATGCTGTATAGGAGCCAGAGGTAAGAAGTGGGTGAATCTGGTGGACACCAAAGATGGAAAGCAGCCCTGACCCGGGCTTGGCAACCCTCACACCAGAGGTGCTGGTCTTCCCTGAACACCCTACACCCCATCATAAGATAAATGCCTATAGGCTGGCAGGAGCATCCTTCTTCCTACATATCCTTACCCCTCCATGTTGTGCCTAGCCGTAGTTCTGTATGGCAGCTGGCATCCTGGATAACTTGCTGAACTTAGACACTGGAAGTTCTGGAGTGAAATCCTGCCTCTGATCAGTCATTCATTCATGCATGCATATATTTGTTCATTCATTCATTTATCCAGCCACAATTTATTCATTCCTTTGTCCACTAGACAAACATTTACTACATACCAGTTAGTGCCATGCCCTGGGGTTACAAAGACAAAAATGAAATCTCAGTCTCCTTCCCAGAGTCTGCTGAAGGGAACCATGCCCATAGTTAAGTAAATATAGAATAAATGCAAAGCAACATGTTGTTAGAGGTGGGAAGGCTGCTTGACCATGGATAACTCCCTGTCTCTCTGAGGAAAGATCCTGGGCATCCAAAAGCAAGTCACTTTCCTTGACCTTCAGGGTTGCCATCTGTTCAGCAGGTTAAATAATAAGGCTATTGAGAGCAGTGTGGTGTAGAAAACAGGGGACTGACCTTGGGCCCCAGACACCTCAGGTTCTCTGACACACACTGGCTGGGTGGCCTTGGGAGCCACTTCACCCGCCAGACAGGACGTCCCCCAGATGACTCTGTAAGAACATGAATTTTGCCTTGGTGGAGGGACCTTCCCCACAAGGAGCTCCCTGACACAGTGAAATCCCAGGCTCAGAAAAAGCAAATCCCCAAAGCTGGTGCTCCCGATGCAGTTGGGGTGTTGTGCAGGACTTGAAGTCGGGAAAACTTTGGTTTGGGTCTTCCCTCTTACACTTACTAGTTGTGTGAGTTAGCAAATCATTTTACCTCTTTAAACCTCAGTTTTTCCATCTTTAAAATGGGGCAATAACATCTGTAGCACCTCTTTTCTCATAGATTGCTGTCATGCTCAGATGAGATCATTGATTTAACTTTGTCCATTTTAAAGGACTGTATATGTGTCCATTGTTTCGCTGCTATTGCATATGGTCCTAATTCTGTAAATTCCTGGAGTGGGGTGGCTAGGGAAGGGGTCATTATGCCCTGCCCCCATCACGAAGGCACGTGTCAGCTGGTGTTGGCTGACTGACAGCTCAGAATAAGCTCATCCTTCACAGTAGACAGGGCTCCATCTGTAGGGACACTGGGGAGATTGTATGACAGGCTCCCAGATGGTCAGCCAGCTGGCAGGCATGGGAAGTTTTAAAACTACCCAACTAGACCAGATGCCTGGTTTAGGTAGTAGAGAATACCTAAGAGCTGGGGGTGGCAGGAAGGCAGCGGGAGGGGGAGGGCAGAACAAAGCTAAATAAATAGAAACAGTAAGTGGGAGCCAAGAGTTAAACTTGATCTTTTCTTGCTGGGCATCAGGAATAATTCAGATGCTGCTGTCTTGCACATAGTAGGTGCTCAGAAAACATTGAGGGTAATTCTCTCATTTCAGTATATCAAGGAGCCATGCTTCTGTTGATGCAGGAGATGACTTCTCTTAGACCTGAGGCTGTTCTCTGACTGAAAATGCAGCCAACCATGTGATGCTGTCCAGACTTGGCATTCTATCTCCCACCTTCAAACCTTTGCATGGCCTGCTAGGCCACCAGGCCTGGAATACCCTCTCTCTTCCCCTCTGCCTTATCAGCCTTCAAGGCTCTTCTCAGGCACTACCCTCTACAGGAAGACTTTCTTGATCCACTCAATTCAGGTATGGGGTCTATGAGGCTGGTTTTCTTAATTGGCAACTGTATTTCAACGTAATTAGTTTCTTTTGTAATCTAATATGTTTTATTTGATGAATGTAAAAGCATTGTGTCAATAGACTTCACCAGACTTCCAAAAGGGTCTGTAGTA